CAGAAAGGGCTTGTTCAAGTCGGGTAGCTTGAGTTCAGCTGTGTCCGCGAGCGCTCGGGAGGTGCGGCGAAAGGCCGCTTCCTGCTCGGGACCCCAGCTCCAACTCACGGACTTTCGCAATAGGCGTGTCAGTGGTGCTTGAAGCGTCGCGCAGTTTGGGATGAATTGGCGATAGAAGTTCACCATTCCCAGGTAGCGACGGAGGGAGCTCACGTCGGTTGGCGCAGGAAACTCCAGGATTGCCTGTAGTTTGTCGGGGTGTGGCGCAAGGCGCCCGCGATCCAGTTCGAACCCGAGCAAGGCGATGCGGGTTTCGGCTATTTGAGCCTTTTCGGGGTTCAGGGTCATTCCCGCGGCTTTTAGCCGGTCGAGTACGTCCTCGAGATGACGTAGGTGATCTTCGAAGGTGTTGGAGTAGACGACAATGTCGTCGAGATAGGCCATTGCGTGTTTCCATTTGGCTTCTCCCAGTACTCGGTCGATCAATCGCTGGAACGTCATAGGCGCTCCGCACAGACCGAAGGGCATTCGTGTGAATTCGAAAAGCCCGCGGTGACAACAGAAGGCTGTTTTTGCCTCGTCACCTGGCTCCATCCGAACCTGGAGGTAGCCTCGGCTAGCGTCCAGGGTGGTGAAGTACCGCGCACTGCCCAAGTTGGACAGAATCGAGTCGATGCTCGGTAGCGGGTAGGCGTCCTTTCGTGTGACGTCGTTCAGACGGCGGTAGTCCACGCAAAGACGTGAGCTGCCGTCTTTCTTCGGGACCAGCACCACGGGGAATGCCCAGGGGCTGTTAGATCGCCGGACAACTCCGGTGTCGATCATTTCGTCCAGGGCACGGTCGATGGCTTTTCGTTTAGCCAAGCTTACGGGCCGCGCGTTCTGCCTTCTTGGCAGTTCGTCGCCCGTGTCAATGCGATGGCGCACTTCATTTGTGCAGCCAGGTCGGTCCGTGAACATTGCGTCATAGCGGCGCAACAACGACGACAGTCGGGCTTTTTCTCGCCCTGACACGCTGCATGATTGCGTGAGCAGTGGGTGCGTCATTTCCCCGATGGGGGCGGCGCTTGCTGCCATCGGTGCTGGACTCGGTGTCTTGGGGTCAATGACCCGGTTTAGGCAGTCCTTCGCTTCCTCTCGACGGCTCGTCGCGTGCGCCAATGGTGGCGTTGGCGGTACGGTCGGGGGTTCGCAGAAGGGTTTCAGGGGTGCAAACGTGCCCTCCCGATAGCCTGCGCTGCTGACGTCGATTACAATGCCTGTTTTGGCAAGGAAGTCTCTGCCCAAAATAATGGGCACCGATAGGCCAGGGAGATGAACGAAGCGTTGTCGTCTTACTCGATTCTCCCATCTCGCGACCAGCCGCGCGGTACCAGCCGAAAGGGCGGTTCCGCAGGCTAGGCGAAAGGCAGTGTTGCATTCTCGGAGTCGGACAGAATTCTGTCGGAGGTGAGTCAACACTTCGTCGCCGAACATCGAAGCGCTTGCTCCGGTGTCGACGAGTGCCTTGAATGCCTTGCCGGCGATCGTTACAGAAATGAACGGTGCCGGCGTGCCGGTCGGGGGCGGTCGGCAAAAGAGTGGCCATGGGACCCTCCGATTCTTTGTTAGCCACCGGTCCGTCCGTCCAAGGGCCGTTTACCGGTGGCTTTGCTCGTTTCCCGCACGGTGCGATTCCGTGTTCGGCCGCTCCGGGCACTGGCGAGCGAGATGACCGGGGCGATTGCACCGAAAACATCTTCTGTCGTCGCCTCGCTGGGGGTTCCGCCGTGCGTTTCGGTTTTCGCCGGCTCTGTCGTAGCGTGCATCGGCTCGCTGACCTTGAGGGAGCCTCGTTTGCTCCTGCCTCGCTGCCTCGTTGGGGCGCGAGTCGGTGGTTCTGAACTGCGGCGTCGGCCGGCTTGTTCGTCTACCGTAGGAGTACGGGTCGAGCGCACGATCTGAGATTGCGTACGTGTCTCGGCCCCGATCTTCCGCATAGTTTGCGGAATCGTAGCGCCTTGGTGTTCGAGATGGCGTGTCCCCGCTCCACGCGCAGCGCGGTTCGAGGGCCGCTGACGCTGGAGGCGGAGGCCGGTACGCACGGGCAGCGAGAATGTCTCCCTGAAGGCGCCGGGCCTCGGAGGCGAGCTCGTTCAGGTCGCGGAAACGGCTGCCTCGAAGATACGCAGCGAAAGTCGGGTGGCTTTGGCGTATGACGCGTTCCACTCGCTCTGCATTGGGAGCTGAGGGTTCTGCGAGCTCGAAGAGCTCTTGCATGGCTCGTACGAACTCCAGCAGGGACTCGTCCGGATGCTGAGTTCGCTGTTCGAGTTCCCGCCGCATCCTTCTCTCGTAGTCGGCGGGAAGGAATTCGCGGCGGAACGCCTCTCGGAACTGATCGAGCGTTCCGGCGGGTTGGTCACCGACAAGTCGGAACCAGCGGGCGGCTTCGTCGACGAGCGCGATTGGCAGAATGCGCTCAAGTATTTCACGATCGGACATTCCCATCGCGCGTTGGTACTTCCGTAAATCGTCAAGGAAGTCCGTAGCGCTCGCTTTGTCTGCGTAACCCCGATAAGTCGGGACGGGAATTCGGACCGGAGGTCGTTGGGCCTGTGGTGCGAGTGTTGTCGTTCGCAACGCACCTGTCAGACTCTCAATCACACGTGCCGCGTTTTCGAGCAAGGTGTGATGAGGCGCCGCAGCGGTTTCTCCGTGGGGAGACCGATAGGCTTCGCTTTGTGCCGGCGGCGGAGCACGCGTGTTCAGGGAAGATCCGGGAGCGATGGCGCCCGTTCGCAATGGCGTCAGAACCACGCTCGGCTCCAGGGGTACGCCGTAGGGCGCTTCTCGTTGGAGGGTTGGCATTTCGGCTTCCCGTTGAAGTGGGGGCCGCGCGAATGCGTCGGCCGCGGTCGCCAGCGTGAGCAAATCCGAGAAGTCGGTCTGCATCGTCACGGTAAGCGCTGGTTGCGCGAGGACTCGTCACTCGGCAGCAGTCGCCACACACAGACGTACCAGGGTTCTGGTCGTCAGCCCTTTTGTTGGGCGCCAAATTGTGGTTCTCCTTGGGGCCACTGCCTTTGGGAGTACCACGTTCGCGGCGAGACGCTCTACCGCGAAGCGGGTTCGTACTCGCGTGGCATGCTGCTCGTGGAGCGCAAACAGACACCAGTCACGTTGGTAACGGTGATAAACTGTTTATTTACAATGAAACAAAATAACAACAACACAGCGGCTATAAGCTGGTGAACGCCGTCGGTGTGGAGATCGCCCACGGCCGAACGGTCGTTCACAAATGTACAAAGGACGGGGTAAACGCTCACCGGTGCGCCGGAAGGGTCCCCGTTGTCGCCGCCGCCGAATCCCAGGAAGAAGAGAGAAGCGAGACTGCTGTCCGCTGGTTTTAAGATAACGGCGGGGGCGAAGTGGCCAATCAAGGAGCGACACGTCGATCTCCTTTGTGCGGGGGTTCGTCACGGAAATCGCCCCAAGGGGGAGAGGAGGAAGCCACTCACAGTGGTAAGCAGCGCCACCTCTCGCTACGTCGGCGCGGCCGCCACGGCGTGCCAAAACGCTGACGCGACAGAATGTTGAGGGATCACAATCCCCACACTTTTAAGGTGAACCGAAATTTGGATTTCAGAAAACAATGCAGCAGCGGTAGACGGGACGCTACAATCCCTAAAACGCCACTCATAAGGCGATATCTCGAATGGACGACCGACAGGGCGCGTTACGTCAAGATATCTCGTTTCCTTCTCTCTTCGCTTCACCCCCTCAAGGCGGCGAGGCAGAGAAGACGCGAGGTTGTTCCCTCTTCTCGGAGAAACAAGACGTCAACATACACGTCAAATGCGCCTCCTTTTTTTTTTTTTTTTTTTTTTTTTTTTTTTTATAAAAATACGGTCATCTGTTCGAGATATCGCTGTATGAGTGATGGTTTGGTGTTTGTAGCATCCTGTTGCACGCTTTTGCCGCCGTGTTTTGTAGAATCCAATTTCGGTTCAGCATCGGATGCTGAACCGAAATCTGGATTCCACAAAACACGGCGGCGAGAAGCGTGCAACAGGATGCCACAAACACCAAACCATCACTCATACAGCGATATCTCGAACAGATGACCGAATTTTTATAAAAACAAGGAGGCGCATTTGACACGTATGTTGACGTCTTGTTTCTCCGAGAAGAGTCGAGAAAAGGAAACGATCTCGCGTCTTCTCTGCCTCGCCGCCTTGAGGGGGTGAAGCGAAGAGAGAAATAAACGAGATATCTTGACGTCATGTGCCTCATCGGCCTTGTTCAATCTCGACTTTTTTTTCCAAAAATACGGCTGTCAATTCGAGATATCGCCTTCCGAGTAGTGTTGTAGGGATTGTAGCGTCCCGCCTACAGCTCCTGCATTGTTTTCGGAACTCTAAATTTCGGTTCAGCATCCCTTTAAGGCTGCTGAGACTGTTTAGATTGACATACAAGGCGATTCAGCCGTCGGAGCTTAGTACGTTGCAGCTTCAGCTGCTGCCTGTACCGCTGCCTGTCTTCTTGTTCCCATGCGTCCATCCTTTCAAGGATTTCTCCCAGGATTGCAGCCGGCCTCTTCCTTCTTGTTTGCGGGAGCTCAGGCTGCCTCGTTGACCTTGGAGTCTGTGCGCTCTGCGGACACACAGTGCCGGCTTGGGAGGGCATGGCAATGGCTACAGCTGTGGTGGTGGCTGACGGCCCTGTGGTGGCTGGGATGATGACTTGGGACTCGGTGACTGAGGCTGCAGGAACGACCGGCATGCTCGTGCACACCGGGGCAGTGTACTCGGCCGTATCCTGGAAAAGGTTGTCCATATGTTGATAAAATTCCCAATCCTTGCGCCCTCGTCTTGCCGCCTTCTAGTGTAAGTCCGCTTCAAACTTTTGAATTTGTTTTCGCAGCCGTCTGGCGATCTGTGGGCACCAGCTTCCTTCATTTCTACACTGATATTCCTCCACACTGTTCTTTTCTTCAACTTTCGGTTGCTGAAGTCACCATAGTACTTTTCATAAAGTGAAATCAGCAACAACACCTCGCTGCGGGACCATGCCCCTCCTTCACCAGCCTCATCAGGGCTTCCTTCATGATCTAAAATGTCCAAAACATCAAATGTAATTATTAAGGTTATCAGTTCATGACCCTTTAAACACCAAACCTTATATATACAGCTGTAGGCGATGCCGGGGACGCCAAGCAATCATCAAAGCCCCATTATATGCAACTATAGACAAAACACGAGGTTAGTTAACACTGGCAGGAAGGACTTCAAGCCTCCTGGAAGCCAGAGAGTGACAGCCGGCATGCTGCTAACAGCCTTTTTAGGCCAGAAAGAAGCTAGGTCTTTTCACACGAGAGTATATTTTTGGCTTTTAGAAATTCCCTTCAGAACCCAAGCTATATGTGAGATTCATACCGTCGCACTCCCTGCTGCTACATGGCTGCGGGTCCAACTCCTGATGACCACTGACTATAAACAAAAAAAAATTGCGAAGTTGTCAACAAGGGAAAGCAGTTGCATTACAGCACTTTTACGTAACACACTGCAATGCATATTCACACGACAGAATGTGCACGCTAGCGAAGTTTATGAAGATGTGATCAAAACAAGAAGCATGATCAAATGATTGTGTTTGTTAGTGCAAGGGGAAGTGGCTCGCACTTCGATACAAGGAAGGCCCACAGCAACAATAGCGCTTGAGCGGTGGAAGTATCTAGCTGAGCTCTACCAAAATATCGATAGAAATGCTGCGGCCGTGCGCAAGCGGAATTGGGCTGCAGTATAAAGTGAGTGAAAAATGCCGATCGGCGATGGCTCGCGTTTGTCGCGCAACGCTCACACTCACCGACAACTAATTTTCGCCGACAATTTAAATGAGCGATGTCAATTTCAAATGCAAGAGTGCGATCAGCGAAATATGGAGGTACTCACCGATACTAATATAGAGAGGAGTAGTGCAGCGTCCTGTAAGAAAAAAACGACATATACGGAGAGATTCTTATTTTCAACACGAAATGAAACATAAGGAGGTGAGACGGAACGTTAGCGCATGAGTTGTCCCTTACCGTCGTCGCTTTCAACCAGATAAACGGGGCTTTCAGACGCAGTGGATGTCATCGATGCAGCCATGGCAGCAGACGCACGGGAGAATTCGAAACCTTTTCTGGATATTCCCGCCTAATTCCCCGGAAATCGTCACCAGTCAGGAAATGACGCCATCTTTAGCTCCTTTGACTCTACGTGCACCGTCTCCGGACTCGGTGCTTCGGAGCTTGACTCCGAAGCCCCGGAGTTACGTGCACCGGAAGTGACTTTTGGCCGTCTAGTGGAAGGAGTCAGTGACTCCTTGACTCCGGGGCCGCTACTGAACGCGCCCAATGCGAGATCGCGGAGCGGAATCATCGCCCTGACGTCACGGTACACCTCACCCCATCAGGGCGTGGCGACCGCAGCGACGCTTGTGTTCGGTCTCGGGGCTAATAGCAAATGAACGAACGTGTTTATTCCGTCGAAACACCCCGGACCCGACCCTATCAGCTAGTTTTTGCGAAGGCCCGGAACACAGCCTGGAAGGCTTTTTGGGGATTATCTCGACGGAAATAATCCTCCAAGCACGTCGAACTGCCTGCGTCGCGGGCTGCTTGACGTTCGCTCTCTTCGTTCGTTTCCTGCGAAGGCCGAGTGGGCTACGAGCTCTGGAACTCCCTGGTTCTCACAGTGGAAGATAACACACAAGGGGTAAGCATCCTAAACAGGCGAATAAAATAAAAACTTCCAAGAAAAGCCGCCGAACTCCGAATGCAAAATGCAGGTGGGGAGTCACGCTGACCGAGTTTCCACTGCTCAGGCGGGTGCCAGAAATTTCTGGCATCTGATAGGGGTCGCTCGATTCGCAAAATGGCGGCGGCCAGAGCGCTCTTTTTGCAAAGGGGCTCCCCCCGTCCCTCTTTTACGACGCCTATACACACACACACGCCGTAAAAGTTAGTGATGCATGGACAGAATCTGCCCAACTTCAGATTTGGTAAAGTTCCGCACATGCCGAAATTTTGAAGGAAAGTACGGCAAAAATTCGGCAAAAATTCGGCAGATGTGTGCGCACGCGCGCAAACGCGACAGGGCCATGGATCGCAAATGGACGCCGCGCGGTCGCGCGGTAACCATCGCACAGTTTAGTGCAACCAGCGGTTACGGCGAGGTGTGGAGTAGGCGGCACGGTAACCGTGCGTTTGTGAGCTTTTGCGAGTGAGGTTCTCTTCAATATTTTCTGCCTCAAGAACAGAAGATCGACCAGTAATTTACGCAGTCCACTGCGCAAGTGACCAATGATGCGGTGCATTCTGGATAACGTGATTTTCATTTGACCTTTCCATTGATGCAACGAGGCAGTTGAAACATTGACCGACAACTGACAATTACGCTCAGTGTGCGCAGCCCACTGCCGTCAAACGGGGCAGAATCAGGAGAGCTTGCCAGAATGTATGGGATGCAGCTGGCATCCTCGTCATAATTTGATACATGTTTTCTCCCTTCTTTTCTTTCCTTTTTACGTACTTTCTGTAGTGTGCATATTCTGTACATTTATTTCTCTGTTTTGTTTTTTTTCATATGTGGTGGCGGGCTGGCAGCAGACATGTACAAGCTACTAAAAAAAATTTAATTAAGTTAAGTTACTGAGTATTAGCCTCAAAAGTAATTTGAGTAGAGCAGAAATTACTCAAATGGAAAATAAATCAGTAAATTACTAACTACCGTAAAAATGCAGCGAATTACTTTTGAAGTTACTTTTATTATTTTCTATGCTAAGAAGGAAGTACTTACATAGGTTTTGATGCCTTAGCGAATTCTGCTGGCCGAATATAAAGCGGCTTTTGTTTTCACAGAAACGCTTTAATCTAGCTGGTTCTGCTTCTGCATGCCTAATTTTTGTGTACTTCTTTTTTGTCAAGGATGTACTGCAGATGTGTCATTTCACCTTTGAGGTTTAGCATTGCCTTAGCTTGATTTTGCAGACAGTGTTTAATTGCTTACAGTGTTGCGTAAAGTACGTCTAATAACTACTTGGAAGTACAAAGTAAATGAGTGGTTATGCACTTCGAGTAAAGTAGTGAGTACACCGGGTGCAATGTACTTGAAGTAAAGTACTATAAATACAATGTACTTCCAAAGTAAAGAAGAAGTACCTTTTAACACACTATTTCAGAATGCCCTTTCATTCCCCATACAGCGTTTTCTTTTTTGCTAACTTGCCGGTCCCGGTATGCATTGCTTCAGGGGAAATCGGAGGTGCATCCGTTCTTTTTTTGTTTTTTTTAATGGCGGCAATTAATACGCTATAGAGTAATTCCTTTATTCTCGCTGACGAACCATTTAACACAATCAACTTATAAGGCACTTATCTGTATCGGTCTTATAGCCGCCATTTCTTCACTCAAAGAAATGACCAGATGACGTCTCGAAAGACAGCACAAGCTATACAGGAGCACCAGATTAACTTCAGAGCGGGTGCTGCACTTTGTTACCGTCTATGAGTGAGGATGTAGTGTGTACACATCCTGTAGTGGGCAAGAATTCCTACATTGGGGAGAAGCGAGGACAAGCCCTTTCTTCAAATGCGTCAAGTATCCTTGAGCTTCGGGATACAAAGAAACTCCAGTCTTCGGCGCTATTCCCACAGTTACTCGGCCTCTCTTGCGTCGTGTCTCTTCGCTCCCCCCGCCTCACAGCAGTGTTGTTGCAGTGGGGGGCATCTAAATCACTTTCTTCCTGCCCCCCCCCCCCCCCTTTTCTACGCCACATGCTTCCCCCTCTGCAAATATCAGCTGATCTTCCAACATCTTATCTCTGTTGTGTGACAAAACAACCACTAGAATTCGAAAGTAATTTGTAATTTGAGTACAAGTCAGTCGGAAAAGTAGTTAAAGTAAACTACTAATTACCAAAAGAGAAATGTAATTGAAAGTTACTAAACTATCCAGAAAAGTAGTTAAACTACAGTAATTTGAGTAAAGTAGTTGAACTACGTACAAGTCTGGCTCGCAGGCGCTCTTCGTAAGGGTTTTCACTTATCTGCCTAGCCCCGCACACCACCACATTGGCCCCTTCCAGTATGTGCAAAGAAAATTATTTGTATTATTATTATTATAAAATTCCTCTTTTCGGTTCACAAGTAGTTTGTGCCAAAACAGAATAATATTGCTTTTTAGTTTCCGTTACTTCGCGATTTTCATGTATCTGCATAAAATTAACACATAAGTATCATGCTCGACGTTGCACATCCGACATTTTTAAGTCCCCATCTTCCTAAACGTCCGTGTGTGTCCTAACACCAGACACCGGAATTTTAAATTTTAAAAAGGCACGTTTCGAATATGGAACGCACACTTTCATGCAAAGCTGACGTCAAATTTCTCAAATCGAAAAACATGCATATTTACAATGTTATTATCTCTTCTGGTGAAGGCTCAGCAACCGTTGCATTCGTTTTCGCGCACGAAACAGAGAAAGTAAGGACGCAGCGATTGCCTTTATTTTAACAATGCAAACACACTTGCAGGCGTGCGCTGATGAAGCGTCAGAATCAAAACTCTGGTAGCGTGATTCGTGACTGCGCCGGCTACTACCCAACCTCGTTGTCACGCCACTTTCTGTAAGCAAACACACAAAAGCGACATTGATACAATTATCTTGCAGAATATCACCTGATTTAGTCATAACTGTGTGAATTGGCACTATATGTTGTACTTATGTCAAGAAAAAAAAAACATGACATTTTTTCTTCAGAAAAAACTAAATATCAATGTTAAGTCTGGTAAAAGTGTATTTTTGCCGAATCATTGCCAAATCTTTAGAAACGTTCGGCAAAAATTGCGCCGAATTTTTGATTCGGCAAAAGTACGGCCCATCTCTAGTAAAAATATGCGACCCAGGTTGGGGGGGGGGGGGGGGGGGATGGTCTGGTTTGCCCCCCCCGCCCCCCTCAAAAGCAAGTTGGTACGCCACTGGTGAAACCATTGCAGTATTCGTATCAGTCGCTGGAAGGAAGAGTGTTCAGTTGCACTGGCAGTCCAGATATCTACCCTAGAGCACTTCCTTGCAGTCAGTACCCATCGAAAACTGTTGACGGGCGTCTTAAGAGCCGGCTCCTTAAAACGCCTCTTTATTAGTGGCTATAGAGACGGTGTCCGGAAGATTTACGGGCACCTTTTCGCTTGTTCCAAACTTATCGTTCTGAAATAAACTCCATGTGGAGTTTCGTGAAAAAGTTTAAAACAACATGTGTGAACCATCTGCGTTGCTTGCTTAACGCTTGCTTAACTTCCTGCCCACAATTGTCCGTAAAACACGCTAAGGGGGCCCCAGTACAAAAGAAAGCTCCAACCGTCCTTCCATCAAACTCCAATAAAAAATATAAAAAAAACTAACAAGGGGTATGGGAGGCCGTGTTAAATTTGGTTGTTCTGGCATGCTCTTGCACAACGAGCTCACAAACGCCAGCTGATCTAGAGACGGGAACTTTATGGCATCCTTGTTTCCTTGTTGAGGAAAAGAGAACGAGAAGGCCATTGCGCCAGTGGCCCTTCGGAGTTCTTCTGCTTTCTGCCTAAACTTTCTTAAATAAAAACAACAACAAAAAACTACTTACATTTTAAATTTTCAGGGGCCAGCATGGGGGCCCCCTGAAAGCCTGGAGCCCAGGGCTGCAGCCCCCTTAGCCTGTACCTTAATCCGGCCCTGTACGTCAGTGTTGCCCGACTGCGCTGGGCTGCGAGTTTTTTGGTCAGTGGGATGTGGCTGCCTGCGTAGGCGCACTTCCGGACGCTGGTGGAGGCTGAATTGCCGCGTTATATATTTTTTTATTTTGTGTTCTATGGCGAACAGAATTTCTCGTTTTTTTTTTGTTGTTTTCTTAAATGCATTGTGCTATTTTCGATAACAAAAACAAAGAAATGAAAGCTGTTTTGGTGAGGCCGTGTGTGACACAACAAATGCAACTGTAATGGTTGTTTCATTTTATGTTGATCTTTCTTTACGGCACCATACACTCAGCCGTGTCAATCTACAAAGGTCTTAACCGTCGAAACTATTTGACCACACAG